ACGGGGTTGCGGACCGTTCTCTTGTAGCTCGTGCTATGAGAGGTTGTTCAGGCAGCGGGCGATGCGCTAGGGCTTCTAAGGCTCGTGCGAGGCGCTCATCCGCCGCTGTCTGACATTTGGAAAGCCTATGAAGCTGTTCCATAAGATTTTGAGTTGCCAACTGCGTTGCAGCAGTTGAGCGGGCAATGTCTTCTTTTAACGCTGCCACTTCAGAGGCCATCGTGGCCAAGTTAGGGGCTTCCGGTTCGACGGAAGTGGTCCCTGAACGCCTTGGGTGTGTTGCGGGAGGGACTTCGACATCCTCCGCAGGACCCTGACTACAAGTCTGGATCACAGGTGAGCGGCCTCACGTTGGTGAGCGTTTGACCGGCATCATTCTCGGTTTCATGAAGTTCTGTCTCCGAAACGAGAGAAAAGGTTTCCGAGTAGCTACCTGAGTGGATCTCAGTTTGCGCAAGAGTTTCGGTATGACCGAATAAGGTTTTCAGCTGAATTTGAGAGGGGAAGGCGGTTCATCACGCTTCTCCACCATGTAGCAGATTTTTTGTTGGTAGACTACGGTAAAGACGACTTGGGTCTCCTAGCAGGTTATGTGGGTGTCCGTACTAGGAATCGTAGTCTCCAAATCCTTTCTTTGGGCGTCAGTAGCGACTTGAGGGCGAGAGGCAAGGAGAGTCGGTTAGTTGTGAACCGAGCAGGATTTAGAGGCTTCGGTATGGGTGATCAGGCCATTGAAGCGCTCTGTTAGGTTCCTGTTAACCTAAGATTGGAGTTGAGAAGTGAGTTATGGGGATTTTGTGTCGCTACGGCTTCTGCCCGCTGACTTATTTTATTGAATTCCTCTTTTTATACAAGAATATGCTATGGTAACATCTACACTAGTTTCCGTAGCCTTCATTAGGGTGGCGGCGTCCGATCTTCCCATCTCGGACCATCGCCATGATCTATCATGGCTGCGTAACATATCCTTCATGCTGCACTGGTGTAGCCCAGAACCGAGCTTGATCTTAGGGGTTTTGAAGCTTAGGTTACAATTGCGGAAAACTCAATCGTGGTCACCTGATGCCTTTGAGCGAACCGGTTTATCAGAGTCATTTGCTACAATCAGCTCATCAATCCTAGGGAGGGGATATCTGTTCTTGATGGTGATTTTATTCAGAGCCCTGTAGTCCACACACATCCTCAAAGAACCTTCTTTCTTCTTAACAAAGAGGATAGGTGCTCCAAATGGGCTCTTGGATGGTCTGATGTGGCCTGCCTCCAGAAGCTCTGAAAGCTGCTTCCTCAGTTCTTCTAACTCCAAAGAAGAGAGGTGGTAGGTTGGTCTCCAGGGGGTCTGGTTGGGGTCACTGAGTTCAATTCTGTGATCTACTGATCTCTCAGGGGGAAGTCCTGGGGGAAGCTCTTCAGCAAAGACATCTTGATAGTTTTCAAGAAGCTTGGTGACTTTGGAATCCATGGTGTCTGGAGGGGTGCTGGTATCTTGAGGGTTCTTGAGATACACAGCAAAAGCTGTTGCTGTCCTCTTCTTCAGTGTTCTGGCCAACATCTTTGCTGATACCATGGTGATAAGATTGGACTTCTGGGATTTGTTGGAAGAGCTGGCCTGCTTAACAAACCATCTGACTCTGGGGTGCTGGGAGGTGGTGAAGGTCACAGTGTTCTTGTTGTAGTTGATACTGGGATTCCTCCAGGCAAACCAAGGTATACCCAAGATCAAGTCAAACTTGATTGGGGCTACTATAAAGTCTGACTGTTCTGTGTAGGTTCCTACTGAGTACTGAAGACCTTTGACAAAGCCTATTTCTTGGTGCTTTCTGTCATCAGCCATAGAGATTTCTGCTCCAGGAAGAGAATGAGTCACCAGTTGTGCCTTCTTGACAAAGGAGTGTGACACATAGAGTTGGTTTGCCCCATTATCCAGGAGAATGGTTACTGGGATTCCTTGGATTCTACCTTGCACAGTCAGCAAGTGACTCTGGGGAATCCTTGGCCCTTTGGGGGTACTTAAAGAGTATGGAGCCACCTCTACTACATGGATCTTGCTTTCTTGGTAGGTGGCCTGGGTGGTCTGGGGTTCTGGGGTTCTCTGGGGTTCTGGGGTTCTCTGGGGTTCCTGGGTTTTCTGGGGTTCTAGGGTTCTCTGGGGTTCTGGGGTTCTCTGGGGTTCTTGGGTTCTCTGGGGTTCTGGGGTTCTCTGGGGTTCTGGGGTTCTCTGGGATTCTGGGATTCTCTGGGTTTCTGGGGTTCTCTGGGTTTCTGGGGTTCTCTGGGATTCTGGGATTCTCTGGGTTTCTGGGGTTCTCTGGGTTTCTGGGGTTCTCTGGGATTCTGGGATTCTCTGGGTTTCTGGGGTTCTCTGGGATTCTGGGATTCTCTGGGATGCTGGGGTTCTCTGGGGTTCCAGGTAAAGTCCATGGATAGTTAAAGTCTCAGGGGTGGTTTCAGGTGGGTCCAATAGGTCCAAGGGTTGAATAACAGGAGAGTGTACCAGGTGGTGGGTGTCAGGGTGGTGGTTCTTGATATCTTCCCCAGTAGAGGCAGAACCTCTATCTTCTACTGAGTCTGCTTGCCATTTCCCTGCTGCTTGGTCTTCAAGGGGCATAGGGGGGCAAGATGGCCTGGTTTTCTGCACCTGAAACAGGCTCCCTTCTTTCTGAGCTCAGTCTTCTCAGCCTCAGTGAGTTTGGAGAGAGGCTTCCCAGAGTTGGTGGATATACTATCTATCTCCATAGGGACTACTCCAGAGTTCTCAGCCTTGGGGGAGTAGTAGCTGGTGGCCTGGCTTCTTTTCTGGTAGCTGAACTGGATCTGGTCAATCCTATCAGCTGTTGCTGCAGCTGTGGCTAAGTTGATGGTACTGGTGGGGTTGAGCTCCAGTTGTTCCTGAACCCTGGGTTTAAGCCCTCTGATAAACTTGTCTAACTTTTCAGCTTCTGACAAGTCATCCACCTGAAGGCATAAAGTATTGAACTGGTTTAGGTACTCCTTTACTGAGCCTTGTTGTTTGAGCCTGGCCAACTGGTCTCTTGCTGCTCTGGTGGCATTTGCTGGGAGGAAGTTCTCTTGAAGGGCTCTCTTGAACTGGTCCCAAGACTGGATTCTGAGAGGGGATCCTACTGGGTGGTTCTTGACATGGCTTTGCCACCAGACTTCAGCATGGAGTTCCAAGTAGGTGGTGGCTACTAACAGTTGGCCTTCTGGTGATAGATCTGCAGCTGCCTGGAAGTACTCTTCAAGTCTGAGGAGGTATGTCCTAATCTCTTGGACATTCCTGTTGCCTTTGTAGGGCTTCAACTTGCTTTGGAGGACTTTTACCAGGGACTTATCTACTCTGGGTTGGTACTGAGCAGTGGCTGGTGTGGTGGAGTTCAGCTGCTGGAGCTTTGCTTGATAAAGCTCCTGCCTGACCTGGTCTATGTCAAGCTCAGCAATGGTGTTGAAGAGAATCTCTTCCTGGCTGGTCATGGTGGTAATGGGTGGAGTCTTGGGTAGTTACATATTACTTGTAACAACAACAATAGGTGGTCACAGGCCCAAGAGATGCAATGTACTTGCAGTCAAGATAGGGTGGGTCACAGGCCCAAGAGATGCAATGTTACTTGCAGTCAAAATAGGGTGGGTCACAGGCCC